GCCGGGCGCCGGGCCGAGGGCGGCGGCGGCGGCGGCGGCGAGCGGAGCAGGGTGCGAGCGCGCTCCCCAGCCGCAAAACTTGTGTGGACCGCGGGGGAGGGCGGAGGCGGCCCGGGCGCCGCCGCACGCCAATCAGCCCGGGCGGGTCGCGGGGCGGGCGGCTCCTCCTCGGTTGACATCACTGGCCCCCGCGAGGGGGCCCGGGGGGGGGGGCGGGGAGAGGGCAGGAAGAGGGCGGGGGCGGCCTGGGTCCCCCGGGGGAGCACCCCCCGGCTGAGCTCATGGAGCCCTGTGCAACTTTTGTAGCGGGGGCCCACGCCCCTGGAGCATCGCTTTGGCTTTTGGAGAAACGGAAATTGGGGTCGTGAGGGCCCCCACTTTTCAGGCTCCTTAGATACCCAGCACGTCTGTGAAAAGTAATGTAATGACACCAGGTGAGTGAGTATACAGTGCTCTCAGAGGACAGGAAAGTGGAGCCTAGAGTTCCACGTGGACCTGCTCTCGGGTCCCCAGCGGTGGTGACAAACTTGCTTCAGCCACGCGAGGAGTCTGAGGCGGGAACCACCACCCTCCCTAAGGCTCACAAGCCTGATTTCCTTCCCACGTCCTCAAGTCCTCAACGGTCTTTGACTTACACCATAGTTCTGCGGAGATGCCGCTGCTGGGAAACCCAAAGAGGCCACGGAGAGAGAGGAAAAAAAAAAAAAAAAAAAAAACTAAAAACTGAACCGTGGTTGGGGCAAGGGAAAACCCATAGTCAGGAAAAGGACAGCAATTTGCAAATTAAAAAAAATAACAATAAATGAGGCCCACACTGAAATTGAAACGAAACCATTCGGGCAGATGTGCCAAGACTGATTGTCAATACATTTGCTTGGTAAGTAAAGTTCTCTGTGTCCCTATCTCCTCCCCTCCCAGGAGACGAATGATGCAATGTCCAAATTTTAGGACCGGAACCTCTTCACTTGTAAAGAAAAGGCAGCTCAAAACCGGGAAATGACTTGCTTAGGACTGACTCTAGGGGAGCCAACAATTAAAGGGTTTCTTATTGACCTACCATGTGGCTTCATTCTTACCTCATGGTTTAGAGTTGTCAATAATTCAGACAGTGTCTCATCCAAAATGAAAACCACAGATCCCCTGGGACGCTCTCAGATGTTCGAGGGTCCTTTGTCTGTTTACCAAATGCTCAGGAAACAGGCTTGCCCCTAGCCCCACTCCCCCGCCTCTTTCTGCCTCCAAGCCTCCAGGACCCACCTCCAGGACCCGACCAGATCATAGTCCAGGGCAGCAGCAGATGGGCCTAGACCCACTTTCTGGTGACTCAATACAAATGAGTCATTTGGCAGAAAACAAAGGATGCTACATATAAACAAGATTACCTTACACAAGTGAACAAAGAGTGTAGAATTAATTGGTTTGGGTTGGGTTGGGGTTGGGGTTTATAGAACCAAAAAAGAAGCCTAACTTTTCAGGTCTCACATGAAATGTTCAGCGCTTCTCTCTTGCTCTCTCTCTCAAAAAAAAAAAAAAAAAAAATTTTTTTAATTATTATTATTTTTTTTCCCCGAGCATGGCCCCAGCTCAACATCTCTGGCCACATTCCCCCATTGACAGGCAGGATTGCACACCACCCAGATCCAGCCACACCAGCTTCGGTGGAAGGTCAGTACACTGGACTCAGAGGATCTGGTCACTGCAGCTCTCTCCCTTCAACACAAAGGAGGACTAGCCAGAGACCAAGTCACCCTTTCAGGCAAATGGGAAGGTTTAAGGGCTTACAGGGCGGTCCAGGCTTCTTCTGTGTCTTCAGAAAGCTCACCTGGGAATCTTGCCTTTCCTGCCCCCTGGCCCTCCCATTAAGCACTACAGATTTATCGCTCTAATCTCTCGACCTTCTAAGTCAACTGGATACTCAGAGTCACTGACAGCTTAACCAGAGGAGAAAAGGGGGAGACAGAGGGGGAACCTACAAAGATTGATCACAGGGAGGATGGGTCCTAGGACCTTTTCATCTCCTAGGACAGAGCAAGATCCATCAGCAAAGGAGGCTACACTCAGGACAGAAACTTGCAAACAGCCTGGTCTTAGAACCTGGGCTTTCCCCGCCCCCGATTTTACCACCGTTCAACTGTGATCTTAGTTTCTTCTTCTATAAGATGATTCTATGGATGACTGCTAGGAAGGGTGCTATCCCTAGTGTTTTCAGAGTCAGGGGCAAGGCTGTTGAAACAGGTGCCGAGGACACACAAGCGAGGGCGCAGTGAAGCCACCAAACTGGACCACTCTAGGCGTGCATTTCAAAGAGAGGTTTCCTGTAGATGTGAAAGAGAGAATGACCAGAGGCATTTGGGGAGTTCCAGAGCAGCCGTGGCAGTCTCAGGGACAGAGAGTATAAGAAGAGAACTGGCCACGGCCAGGAGCTATCTCCTGGGAGCAGAGAAAAAAAGTGGGGAGAGAAAATCAGGGATTGAAGCAAGAGTGGGAAAAACCACACTAGGAGCAGGAAGTTCCGGGGGTGGGAATTGGGGGAAGAGAGACAGAAATTGGAACAGCCTGAGAGCTAGCATGCATAGTGGAGAGGGAGGTGGGAAGGCCAGAAGGTTAGTATGGGGTCTTTGAATTCATAACAGGTACCTGTCACTAGGGCCTAGGGGAGCCTGGAGGCTTACATGAACTTTGATGTGTAACCACAGCTTAATGCCAAGGGAGGTGTCCAAGGAGTGCCATCATCAGCCCTTCTACAGTCACTGCCTTTGGGGTTTGGGACTTACCAGTAGTCTTTCTTCCTTGGGGATGTGAAAAGAGTCCCCATCATGTCAGATGACTTCAAAGAGCTTCTCGATGGAGCCAGGAGGTTAAATAAGATGGCCTCAAAGATCTATTCCAGCCTTGGGAGTCTGTTGATCTAGACTGGAATTTGAGGGATCTGTGGGCTAGGACCACAGAGGGAGGAGTGGGAGCGTACCATAGGGGCCGATGGGGGAGGGGGAGTCATCAGGAACCCAGCATCTCTGCCTCCTGACACAGCATCAAAGCATTTATAGAAGTTTCATACGTGGGTTTGCAGTAACAAATAGGACCCCAGTATTCAGCAGCTTAACCCCCATGATGCTTCCTCCTTGTCCACTTAACAGCCTTCCTCACTGATGTGGAGGTCTGTGAGGTGCCTCTTTTTCACATTCAGAGATTGTGCAATCTGCTGGTTCTGCTATCCTGCAACATATAGCTTCCAACTTTGCTTTGGGATTCAGCATTCCAATCAGCCAGAGGCGAAAAGAACATGGAGAGGTGAGCAGGAGAAACCCTGGTGAGCCAAGCCAGGGAGGGGCAGGCCTCACTTCCTCTAACTTTCCACTAGGGAGAACACCACAATAGGCTTCACCCAACTGGGAAGGAAGCTGAGACACAAAGGCAGAGAAGAGGAGGCGAGGTTTGGGAAGATTGCTAACATGCTGCTAGCTGGCATCAGGGTGCATGGAAGGGAGATGAAGTGCTGAAGTTTCCCTCTTTGCACAAAAGGGGTAGCTAATCATGTGATCTCTCAGGGCCCAGCTACTTGAATATTCCGTAGTTTGCATAAGATGTTCTATGCCTCAAAGTGAGTAAGCAGAACAAGGTCCAAGTGTGGCATGCCCTCTGCCCATTGGTCAGTAGAGAGGACCTTGGGTTTTCTCCAAGTTCTGTCCCTAAGCTGTTCCCAGCCCTCAAGCCAAGTCAAGTGATGGCTATTGACTTCAGTGTCCCCAATTGTCCATTGAGGGGAAAACCCATTACCTTTCGCCAGGGTTGGTCTGAGGGTATGATGAGGTCATTGTGTGAAGGCTGGTTCTGCCATTCTACAACATATGGCTTCCAACTCTGCTTTGGGATTCAGCATTCCAAAGAGCTCTTCTGAGCACCACAGCCTCTCCACGATGCTGCTATCACTAAGGCCTCTCAAGTGTGCCCACTTTGCCCCTGAACATATATGACAGTATAAGATAGTGTTGCCGTGGCTAGAATCCCACAATGATTGCATGGCAGACCATTCCGGGATGCCCAAGATTCTGGTGAGTAGGGGTTCCAGAGGTTGGCAACTTAGTCAACAGACACCTGAATGGAGCTGAGCCTGGGGGCAGACAGCTGGCGTTTGCCATCACTGTGGGAGGCCTGGCCATTCTCTCATGCTATCCCATCAGGGTCTTGTTTAGTCATCCTCTCATCTGCTTGTCTCCTCCCACTCGATTTACGAGCTGCCTTCTTGGAACTTCTGCTCTTTACTCATCTTTCATCAGTAGATCCCAACACAATGCTTTCTTTCATTTAGTCATTCAATAAATATTTCTCCTGTGACTACCCTGTGCCTGGCTCTGTGTTGGGGGTGGGATGAGTCTCTGCCCTCAGAGCTTAAAGGTTTGAAGGAAACAGCCATCAAAAGAGCATCACTGTAAATCTCTGTATGTGGAAAGGCGGTAAAGCGGAGCGCTCAGGAGAGTGTGCTGTTTCCCCGTACAGCGAGGTCAAGCCACAATGTGATAGCTGTCTGGTGTTAGCCAGGTCAAAGGGAGTTTGGAAGAATCTGTATAAGCCTGAAGGCAGGAAGGCTTGGAACAAGATAAGAAAGCCAAGAGCTGGAGAGATGGCTCAGAGATTAAGAACCCTGGTTGCCATTCCGGAGGACCTGGGTTCAATTCCCAGCATCTCCATGGTGTTTTCCAGGGGAATTGAAACTCTCCTCTGGCCTCACAGGCACTTCATGCAGGTGAAATACTTATACACATAAAGTAAAGATTTAAGTTAGAGAGAGAGGAATGCCAGTATGGCCAGAGCCTAGGGAACAAGTATGATCAGCAGCACATTTTAAGAATCCTTGCTTTAAGAGTTTAGGAAGTCACTGTAAGGGAGGTAGGGCAGAGTGGGGTAGACAGGAGAAGGGTGAGAGGTTGCGTGATGTACAATTGGACATTATAAAACTGTGACGAGAGAGAGATGATCCAGAAATGAGAGCTGGATGTAGACTCTCAGAGCTCAAGTGAGGAAATGACAGTTCTCAAGTGGCAGCAGTGAGTTCCGAGAATGCTCTAAGTCTGAGAGGTCACAGGCTGATGAAAAGAGAGAGAGAGAGAGAAATTAAAAATGAGAGGACATAATTGGTCCCAGGAATGGTGAAGGAAGTTTACTGTAGATTATGCAGGAG